TGTGTATGTATGTACACACACACACACACACACACACACACAAAACACATACACATAAATAATAATTGGAAAATCCTCTCACAAATAATGAGAAACAAATTTATTAAAAATGTGACAGTCTACCGGTGCTCTATTAATAAAGTACAGTAATAGAGAACGGACAGTTTTGGTACGAGTGTGCACGAGTTGCATTTAATATACAGTCAACCCTCACTTTACGCGGTTAATATAACCCACAGGGTATCGCGGAAAGTGAGAAACGCGTAAAGTGAACAACATAACATATGGGATTAATTGAAATAGAGACCGGGCCGACCCCCAAACTCCACTTTTTGACGACACACAACTATGTTGTAGTAAAAATTTTATCTTAACTATATGATGGTATGCACAAACAATTAATATAGAAGAGGTTAGGTTAGGAAAAATAAAGGTTAGGTCAGGAAAACTAAAAGTTAGGTTGAACACTTACGTTAGTAGAAGAGATGGGTCGGCATACGGGGATGGAGGCTGGTTCCGAGGCAGAGGGCAGGCTACTGGCCCTCAGGTGAGTCACCATCACTGTCATCCACACTTGTCAGGGCCTCCCTGACAAATCCCTCAAAGTCATCTTCACTGTCTCTACCTCTGTCACTATCACTGGCTTGGGCTGGCTGTGGTGGGTTGCGGGCGAAGAACTCTGTTATGCTTTGCTGACGGCTGGTGTTTATGTTGTCGTGATAAACCTTGAAGTAGGGCTCCATAGTCTGCAACAGCTGGGTAGTGAAGATTTCATACCTGTTTGCGTCAGGGTCGTCGGAAAGGAGGAGCTTGATTTTCTCAACACACTCGATGGCACCCCTAACATTACTATGGGATAAGCGGTGTTCTTCTTGGGATGACGCACCACCTGCCTCTTCACTGACGTCATCATCATCTACCATCTAGTCGGTAGTCACATCAGGATCCCTTATCACTTCCAGGATGTCGTCGTTGGTGGTCTCGGAGAAGCCTGCAGCTGTAACACTCTGCGCAGCTTCTCTGGCAAGGTCCACTGCTACTGCAACAGTCTGAACCTCACCAGTCACAGATTGACTCTGCCTAACGCCCGGAAAGCCTTGCAACGCATGTCTCCATGCGTGACGAACAGTTGCTACAGACAGCTGATCCCATGCCTCCACCAAGAAGTCCACAGCTTTCTTGATGTTGAATATTCTCCAGAATTGTTTGAAAAGTATTTTTTGCTCTGCCAACTGTTGATCCTCGTCGTCTTCGCTCTTGCTATCGGTGGTGGTGTCACTCAGGTTACGCAACTCTTCCCTGGTGTTGGTGTAGTCGTTCAGGAGCTCGAATTTTTGAGAATGCAGCTTTTACATTACAGATTAACTCTTGGTCCATGGGCTGTAATATAGACGTAGTGTTGGTAGGAAGGAAGACCACTTTTATGTTGGGGTGATGATCTAACAGTAGGGGCAAGTGTCCTGGTGCGTAGTCCAGCAGCAACAAAATCTTGAATGGCACATTCTGTTGCTCACAGAATTTCTTCACATCGGGAACGAAACAGTTATCAAACCAGGAGAGGGACAGTGTAGAGAACATCCACGCCTTACGTGGGGTCAGCCAGTGGACATTTAGCTTGGTCATGTCCATGCTCTTGTTAGGCGTGCGGCTTGCGGGCTGTGTGGATCACCGATAACTTGAGCTTACAGGTACCGGAAGCATTGGTGGTAAACAGGACGGTGATGCGCTCCTTCTGCAACTTCCGGCCCCGAATCTTGCTGGCATTCTTCACAACGAAGGTCTTGGAAGGTAGCTTTTTCCAAAAAAGACCAGATTCGTCCATGTTAAACACTTGGTCGTCGGTGTACTGTCCTTCCTCCATAATCTCACGTAAAAACGGAGGAAATTCCCTAGCCGCAGCACGGTTAGCACTAGCTTCTTCACCACCAATGTTTATATTGGTGATCTTGTTCCTCATCTTAAACCTCTGTAACCACCCAGTGGAAGCATTAAAGGGTTTGGGCTCTGTAATTCCCATCTTTCGTGACACTGCAGCATACAGTTCACGTGCGTACTCCTTAACAGAGCACGTGTCCACCGCCATGTTCCGTCGCGCCTGACGCACCAAGTAGCTCACAAGTAATGTTTCCGTCTTGAGAAGCACCTGGTTGTAGAAATACTTGATCATAGAAGCACCTGGTTGTGGAAATACTTGATCATAGAAGCACCTGTAGACTTTGTGATCTTCATGTGCTCCTTTATCTTGGCTGCATCCTTCTTTATCGTCCGGATCGTAGATTCGTTCACACCATGCTGGCGCGCCAAATCAACCTGTCTTGTTCCTTTCTCCAACTCTTGGATGATCTTGTACTTCACCTCGTAACTTAAGGAACATCGTGTCTTCTTGGGCTTAGGGCGGCTGGGTCCAGGCAAGGAAAGGTTTCTCTCTGGGGGTGGTGGTCCGGCGGAAGCCATTTTTCAGAACAATGTATGCAGGATTACACGGTGTGGCCTGGAGGGATGAAACTGCCGCGGCTAGGTAAAGCGTCGTTTTTCCTCCCTCCCTCCCTCCCCCGGGTGGGCACGTCATATTACTTTAAACCAATTACAGCTAGCAGCGGAGGGAGGTAGGGATGCATGGCCAATCACAGTCCGATACGTCAGTGATAACGCAACAGAGACATGCACTACGCAACCTTACCGCGCGGCTTGGCCAGGCGGAGGCAGAGGAGGGAGGAGGCGGGAGCAGGCGGATGGGGCGAATCTAAAAATAGCGTCGAGCCGGACACTCTCCGCGTAAAGGGGTACACGCACCGCGGAATGTGAGCATCCTGGGTTCCGGCAGGGTACCGCGTAAACGTGGAAACGCGGAATGTGGGACCGCGTAAAGTGAGGGTTGACTGTACTAAAGGACTAGCCGTGTGTCTGTCTATCTGTCTGTCTGTTTGTCTGTCTGTCCTGGGCAGCTGAAACGGCACAATCGTTTTTCATCAAACTTTGTGGAAAAATCGCAAAAAATTCGTAGAGTGGAACAAACCTGATCCCATGTCGATGGTTTCTTTAGGAAGGCATTAATTAACAATTTTATTTACGATGGAAAACGATGCAAGTCTACGGACTAGGCGCACCTTAATTAACCATGCAAGTCACGGACTTGGCGCACCCTCATTCGCTGTACGCTGTCACGAGCGTTCAAACTTTCACAAGGGCACGAAGGGCCCGCGATCACTTGTTTCTTCTATAATGAATTTTATTGCTTCAGCTACAAACTGTGATCCATGTGTCCTTAAAAGTTTAATTGCTAGTACGTAGTGTGCCAGGTTTCAGCCTTGACACAATTTTTTTTCAAAACATATCAAGATTCTCTATACAATGGCAAGATTTGTGACATTTTAACTTGAAATAAATATGGTTTAACGTACGAATGAGTCCCATAACAGACACACCATCAGGAATCATCTCCAGACACACCCAAAGATTTTTTTTTTTTACAGCGATTTAACATTGAGACATAGAGTCTACCAGTATAAAGGACAGTATGGTGGCACCCGTGTTCAGTATAAATGGCAGTATGGTGGCACCTGTGTTCAGTATAAATGGCAGTATGGTGGCACCTGTGTTCAGTATGAATGGCAGTATGGTGGCCATGTGTTCAGTATGAATGGCAGTATGGTGGCACCTGTGTTCAGTATAAATGGCAGTATGGTGGCACCTGTGTTCAGTATGAATGGCAGTATGGTGGCACCTGTGATTTCGATATGAATGGCAGTATAAGGTAGCCATGTGTTCAGTATGAATGGCAGTATGAGGTGGCTGTTCCGATATAAATGGCAGTATGGTGTCACATGTGTTGGGTATGAATGCAGTATGGTGGCATGTGTTCAGTATAAATGGCAGTATGGTGTATGTGTTCAGTATAGATGTCAGTATGGTGGCACCTGTATTTCAGTATGTAAATGGCAGTGTGGTGGCACATGTGTTCAGTATGAATGGCAGGTATGGTGGCCATGTGTTCAATATGAATGGCAGTATAAGGTGGCACCTGTGTTCAGTATAAATGGCAGTATGGTGGCACCTGTGTTCAGTATGAATGGCAGTATGGTGGCCATGTGTTCAGTATGAATGGCAGTATGGTGGCCCTGTGTTCAGTATAAATGGCAGTATGGTGTCACATGTGTTAGGTATGAATGCAGTATGGTGGCATGTGTGTTCAGTATAAATGGCAGTGTAATTGGCACATGTGTTCAGTATAAGTGTCAGTAGGTGGCACCTGTGTTTCGATATAAATGGCAGTATGGTGGCACACATGTGTTCAGTATATCAGTATGGTGGCCATGTGTTCAGTATATACAGGACGAGGTATGGTGGCACATGTGTTCAGTATACTGAGACAGTATGTTAGCACATGTGTTCGAAATATAAGTGTCAATATGGTGGCACCTGTGTTCGAAATATAAATGGCAGTATGAGGTGGCACATGTGTTCAGTATAAGTGTCAGTATGGTGGCACATGTGTTCAGTATAAGTGTCAGTATGGTGGCCATGTGTTCAGTATACAGGACAGTATGGTGGCACATGTGTTCAGTATACAGGACAGTATGGTGGCACATGTGTTCAGTATACAGGACAGTATGGTGGCACATGTGTTCAGTATAAATGGCAGTATGGTGGCACATGTGTTTGGTATAAGTGTCAGTATGGTGACCATGTGTGTTCAGTATAATTTGCAATATGACTAAAACCCAAACTGCCAACATATGTAAAAAACAACTTGGAAAATTCCCCTTTCACTAAAAATCCACAAAAAACAGAAATCATAAGCAATAGGTGTTGATACATTAGTGCAATATACTAAAAACAAGTACTGTACATTAAACCTAGTTCAGTCCACATATTTTTGTTTGTTGGATACCAAACTTCTTCCATAATATTACTGTACATGTTTAAGAGAATATAATGACTATACATTATAAAGGAAATAATTACAGCACATTAAAAGAAGTAAAAAAAAAATGACTCACATTTTCTTTCCAAAGATATTTGAGAAAAGTAGAGCAGATGTTGTAACCTCAGAGTGAGAGGAGCCTCCATGTCCTCCAGCATCACTCATGCCGTGATCACCACACACCACCACCAAGTACTTGTGTCCCTGAGAAACATGTACAGTTCAGTACAGTACAATGATAAACCTGTTTAGTTATATAAAAGGAACTCAATCATACCTTATAAAGACAAACAAGAAGTACAGGTTGTACCTCTCTAGTCCTGCATTCTGTGGTCCATAAACTCTCGTGGTCCGGAACGATTTTAGTTTGTCCAATAGGTAGATAGGCAGCTTCTTTTTTTTTTTTTTTTTTTTAAATCTGATTATTATTATTATTATTATTATTATTATTATTATTATTATTATTATTATTACAGGAGTATTAAATTTTTGCCCCTCAAGCCCCAATGTGGGTCAGTGACCTATGCCCAGGTGAGCTAATCCCCGTAAAAAAAAAACAACAACAAAGTCGCGGGAAATTAAGGTTTGTTTAGTACATCCGGCAGTTCGGCTGCTGTCTCTCTCTCTGCTTGTTTATGCAGAGTACAACATTTAACCCTTCAATAAATATGAGCAGTAAATAAGCGTTCCTTTCATATTCTTATGTAGAGCAATGACGATATGTTTTCACATGTGCGCACTTACATACGCGCAGTCTCACTTTTTTTTTACCATTAATGGTTAGCTACTTATATTGTTCCATTTATTAACATTAAATAACATTACAGGTACTTCAAACAACCATACTAATTTTTTTACATTAATTTTACTACAGCTACAATCAGGGTCTTATTTTCTTCAGTTTTATATGTAGAACCAATCAGTCACCGGTTTTGTAAGCATTAACAAAAACAATGCCGGCAGCCGTCTCGCCTCTTCGCGTGTTTTAATATTCCACGTGTTATTAATAAATTGTATTGTTAATTTTGCACACACAAACATTAATTCAATAAAAACAAATTCAGAAACATTAATTAAAATATATATGAACAGTAAATAAGTGTTGCTTTCATATTCTTATGTAAAGTAATGACGATATGTTTTCACATGTGCACACTTACATACGCGATCTCTCTTTTTTTCTTTACCATTATCGTTAGCTACTTCTATTGCTCCATTTATTAACATTAAATAACATTACTTAAAACAACCACAGTGAACCCTCACTTTACACGGTTAATTCAACCCACGGCGGCCTGCGTAAAGTGAGAAACGCGTAAAGTGAACAACATAACATATGGGATTAATTGAAATAGAGACCGGGTCGACCCCCAAACTCCACTTTTTCAGACACACTACCTATGTTGTAGTAAAAATAACTTCTTAATTTTGTGATGGTATGCACACACAATTAATAATTAAGAGAAATATCAATAATGTTAGGTTTTTTAAAACTTACATGAGTAGAAAAGATGGCTGGGCACACGGGGATGGGGGGTTGGTTCCGAGGCAGAGGGCAGATTATTGGCCCTCACCTGTATCACTTGTATCAATTGTATCACTATCCACCACAGAGGCTTGCAGGGCCTCTTTGTCAAACCCCTCAAAGTCCATATAAGTCCATATCCTCACTATCACTGACTTGGGCCGGCTGTGGTGGGTGGCGGGTGAAGAACTCGGTAATGTTTTGATGACTGGGCGACCTTGTGCACACCCTGCTCGCGCCGCTCTCCACATAAAAGGGTACACACACCGCGGAAAGTGAGCATTCCGGTTTCGGCAGGGTACCACGTAAACGTGGAAACGCGTAAAGTGGGACCGCGTAAAGCAAGGGTTGACTATATTAATTTTACTACAGCTGCAACCAGGGTCTTATATTCTTCAGTTTTATATGTAGAACCAGTCAGTCACTGGTTTTGTAATCAACGAAAACAATGCTGTCTCATTTCCTCGTGTTTTAAAATTCTACGTATTATTAATGAATTGTATTGCCCATTTTGCACACACAAACATTAATTCAATCAAAAAGACTTTCAGTAATAAACAATAATGAATCTTTTGTACATAAGAGAAATGACGCTGTTTACACGATTGTGCACGTCGTCTGAATGTTGGTGGGCCATTCAAATTCGTCGAAATTCAAGTTTCCGCCATCAAATTTTTTAAATGTGTCGTTTTTTTTGTGTGTTCAAATAGAAAACGTTGAATTAAAAACTCGCAAAATTTGAGAAGCTACTGTACGACATTTAACCCTTCAATATGTCTTCAAAGAGACCATGATGCAGAGAAAAGTGGTGCGAGTGCTTCCAAACGTAAGCACAAGTCACTATCTATCCAGGAAAAGGGTGAATTTCCATGGTCCGGAAATTTCCATGGTCCGGCACCGGTCAGGTCCCGAGGTTGCCGGACTTGAGAGGTACAACCTGTATGTACTAAATTTAGAGGAATGAGTGTATAAAAAACCTCAGGAAAGAGGCTTTTTTTGTGTGTTGCATCATTATCCAATTTAACTCGGCATTCAGAGGAAAATGGTGCAGTACATAAAAACTAAGTGGGGTACAGTACAGTGATGTAATATCAATTCATTACCTTTCTTGTAATATGTATTAAAACTTGATTGTGCAGTGCAAAGGAGGAGATGGGAGAATTGTCATCCTGTGTATGAATCACAATAAGAAGAAAGAAAGTGATCATTTATAACTGACAGGTCTTTACATTTCTCCAGGCTCTGTCAAACATTATTGAAAGGTGTTTTTAAATTCACACAGATGGGATGAAAATGGTTGAAGTATGAAAGCTTTTAAGTCTAGAATAACTCTTCAGCATCCTGGTGCCTTTTTAACATCGAGTGGCTTACATCAGGTGTCTGAATCACAATGTTCTTAAAAATTATGGAAACTTAATCCTTATGAATCCAATTCCAGTTGATCTGAGGCCAAAGGTTTTCACAAAGATGCAAGTAACGGTAAGTCAGAAGTAATCAGTGAAGGTGAAAAAAATAACCCTTACCCAGTATCTCTGCTTAGTGAAGAAAAGGCCAAGAAAATTCAGATTATGCCAGTGACTAGTACCTCCTTAAACCAAGCAACAAGAGGGAATATAATACATGAGAGATCCTATTGCAGGCATTCATCAACCAACCTCTGAATTGTACAACCCCAGAGTATTTAAAAAAAATACTTTCATCAACTGTAAAGATGCCACAACAAAGAGTGAAGTGATTCTCAATTCCCATACATTAAGACAACCCTTCACTGTGGTCAACATTCCAGTGTCACTCCCTGCTCAACCTATTCTGAATGTTCCTTGGGAAAACATGAAGAAGAGGCACCCCAACATATTTCACCCAATGATAAAACACCCTAACGATAACATAACCTTAAGTCTATTCACATAAAGCTCGCAACTGAGGCCTAGGGTCAGTTTGTAGCAAGACAGCCAATTAGTTGGCAGTCAGACACAGAAAGTCATTACAGTTCTTTATTATTTAATCTATCGTATTTATATTATAATATCTTAAGGGATTTGGGAAGCAAAAATTAACTTGTGAAATGCTCTGGTAACAAATATCTTGAGGAACATTATTACTTGAGTAAAAAGAAATGGGGAACATACTGTACAGTTTTGTGACAAAATATAAGTAATAACACAACTCCTCCCAGACTTACGACAGGGTTAGGGACCCAAATCCAGGTCGTAAGTCGAAAATGCTTAAATAATACATAGAAAATCTAAAATGGGTGTCTCTTTTTCTCTCAGCACCACAAAACTCTCACTTTTAAGCTTGCCAGCCGTTTAAAGTGAATTACAAACGAAAATTTTGTCAGTACACAGCGCAATCACTGACGTTGGGACTCGAAAATACGTAATTTGACAATATTTTGGTATGACTGAGGCGGTCGTATGTCGGGGAGGAGTTGTATATGCTAAGAAGTATTAAGAAGCAACGTAGAGGTTTAGCATCTTCATCCTTTAACATCGAGTATCAAGAAATTTGGTGCAAATGAACTAAAATCTCGGCCAACGAGGTATAATTAATTTTTGTGTCATAGTACAGTGGTCTCTCGGTTAATGAACACAATTCGTTCCAGAAGGTCGTTCGTTAACCGAAACCATTGTTACAATGGGATTTTGGGTAATTGGTTCCAGCTAACCAAAAATTACATAAAGTAAAATAAAAATGCAGTAAAGATGATGCTGATGTGAATTTGAAGTGGGAGGTGGAGGAGAAGAGAGAAGAGAAGGAAGTGGAGGTGGAGGAGAAGCATTTTACTGCTTCTTGGAAGGCGCGTCACCTTCCATGGAAATGTCAGGAACCTCTGGACTGACAGATTCTCCAGCAGGAAAATCCTCTCCTTTTTGAAGTGGAAGGCTGAGGGGTAGCATCTTTTTCCCGCTGCCTTTTAGTGAAGAAATTGTCAATTTTTGTTTGTGGGGCATTTCTCCTCATCATTAACTGATTTCTGAAGGAGAGCACTTTGTCCTCAACACTACACAAAAAAGGTTCTGTTGTTTCCACATAAGGGTGCCTTGATGCCAGTTTCCTGAACATCTCCCAGTGGTAAACAACATCTTTTAGGTCTGAAGAAGACATATGGTCATCACTTTCCCTTTCCTCCTCACCACTGTCAGCTTCTAACATCTCATCCATTTGCTGCAAGTCTTCAATTGTAAGTTCCTGGTCATGAGACATCACAAGCTCTTCCACATTATCCTCCTCCACTTCGAGGCCCAATGACTGACCAATGGACACAATCAATCTCCTGGTTCAACTCCGTTTCTTCCTCAAATCCCTCAAAATCATGGACTGCTGATGGCCACAGTGCTTTCCATGCAGAATTGAGGAATCTAGTGGAGACTTCTCGCCATGAAGACACAATCAATTTTACAGCCACCAGGATGTTGAATTGTGTCTTCCAGAAGGTGCCAGTGTTAGTTCAGGATCAGTGGAAGTTGCCTGATGACACCTCCTGAAAATTTTCTTCATGTACAACTTCTTGAAGTTGCTGATCACATTCTAGATCATTGGCTGCATAATTGATGTAGTATTGGGAGGCAAAAACAACACTTTGACAAAGTCAAATTGAGCCTCCAAAGTGCTGGCAAGTTGAGGGTCATGACCAGGGGCATTATCCATAAGGAGAAGAGCCTTTAAAGGGAGTTTATTGGTGGTTAGGTAGCTCTTCACAGAAGGGCAAAACACCTCAACAGCCCATTCATTAAAGAGCTGTCTTGTCACCCATGCCTTACGGTTGGACTTCCACTCCAAGTTGTCCTCCTACCACCTTTTGTTGCTTGAACACCATGGGGTTCTCAGAGTGGTAGACAAGCATAGGTTTCAGTCGGAAATCCCCTGAAGCGTTGGCACCAAGCAATAGAGTGAGTCGGTCCTTCATGGGTTTATGCCCAGGTAAAGAGGCTTCATCTCTGGTGATGAATGTTCTTTTGGGCATTTTCTTCCAGAACAGCCCAGTTTTGTCCACATTGAACACTTGCTGTGGAAGATAATTTTCTTCATCCACCAATTTCTTAAACTCCACTACAAACTTTGCTGCTCCTTCTTTATCTGCACTGGCAGCTTCATTAAGCCTAACAACACTAAAAATGTCACTTTTTTTCTTAAATTTTTCGAACCAGCCTTTGCTGGCCCTAAACTCTTCAAACTCTGTGCCAGAAGAACCAGGTTGATCTTCCTTTAAATGTTCGTATATTTCCCTGGCTCTTTCACAAATAAATTCAGTAGAAACTGAATCACCTTTCATTTGTTTTTCCCTAATCCAAATAAGAAGTAACCTCTCTGTTTTTGCTATTAATGATCTACCTTTAAACACTGGAAGATTTGTCTCTCACTTTCACTTCTTTGAACATGTCTTTCAGTGCAAGAATTGTCGACACAGTTGATGCCGACATGCCATATTCTTTACTAAGCACATTTGTTCGAATGCCTTCTTCATGTTTCTTAGTGATTTCCTGTTTCACTTGAATTGAAATCGCCTTTCTCGATTTCTTTGGAGCCATGCTGGATTCAATACAGTAATTTCACCATTAAAATTTTAAGTTCACTAGCTGAAATTAAAGATTATTTTCTTTAAATCAACACTGCACTGCACTATATATTATCAATATGTACAATAAATTTCAGAATGACCAATAATTGTACAGTACTGTAAAAACGTAACAATAGATTATGTTCAAGAGAGTCTCAAGCAAGATGTTATCTCTACTGACCAGAGATACAAACTGACGCCTGCTGGGTGAGTCAAGTGGCTGTTTGGCGTGCTAAAAACTAGTTTCCTGTACTTCAATTATGTTCAATAATTGTTAAAATGACAAAAAAATTTAATATAAAACTTGTATAATTATTGAATAGTACAACCTTCTTGATATTTACTCAAAAGGGAACGAATTTAAGCCCTAGAACCGATTACTGTATTGGCGGACTAATATTCCAGCTGGTGAGCAAGCGAAAATATGTTGAGAGGAATTTGTGAGGAATTATTTAACCGAATTATTTTTCGTTAACCGAAATTTCGTTAACCGAGGGACCACTGTATATATACAGTGTATATATACAGTGGTCCCTAGGTTAACGAACGCCTTGGTTAACGAAATTTTGGTTAACGAACAAAAATTCGGTTAACGAGATTCTTACGAAAATGTTTCGTCATGCTTTGGCTTGCTCACCAGCTGGAAGATTAGTCCGCCAATACAGAAATCGGTTCTAGGGCTTACATTCGTTAAAATTGGAGTAAATATCAAGAAGGTTGTACTATTCAATAATTTTCCAAGTTTTATATTAAAATTTTTAGTCATTTTAACACTTATTAAACATAATTGCAGTACAGGAAACTAGTTTTTAGAGAGCCAAACAGCCACTTGACTCACCCACCACGGTGTCAGTTTGTTTCTCTGGTCAGTGGAGGTAACATCTTGCTTGTGGCTCTCTTGAACAAATATTATTTTTACACTTTTACAGTACAATTATTGGTCATTCTGAAATTTATTTTACATATTGACAATATATAGTGCAGTGCAGTGTTGATTTAAAGAAAATAATCTTGAATTACACCTAGTGAACTAAATATTTTATGGGTGAAATGACAGCATGAAGCATGGGGTGATTTCTCTTCCACCCCAACTTCTTTCTCGTCTCCCTTCTCCTCCACCCCCACTTGTAATTCCTATCATCATCAACCAGGAGCCTTCTACATACACACCTCAAAGTAAGTGTACTTTACTGCATTTATTTTTACTTTGTATGTAATTTTCGGTGAGCTGGAACCAATTACCCAAAATCCCATTGAAACAATGGTTTCGGTTAACGAAATTTTTGGTTAACAAACGACCTTCTGGATATTACTCCTTACCTTTTCTTCAAGTCCATGATGAATGGTCTTCATCACAGTGTCCATTTCTAAAAGCTTTGGTCCAATCAGTGAACTCATTGGTCCTTCCAAATGGCCAATATGATCCAAGCCTAAATAGTGTAGAATGAGCACATCCCAGTCATCTGAGGCCAGAGACTTGGAGATGTGGCGTGTCACGTTCCTGTCTACCTGTCACAGAGACTCTTACTTAGCAGAAAAAATACTCATCTTGTATACAGTATATCATAGCTTCAGTACAGGTACCACATTGAAAACTCTCTGTAACAATAACATCATGAATGACACATACAGTACCAGTCATAACAATTCAGTAGTAGAGAAACACCTCAGCAGATATTGTTATGTGAAGTACTGTATTACAAGGTCATTACTCCCTGAGAAAATGGTTTAATGTGACACTTTTATTACAGTCTGTTGGTAGAATAACTCAAATCTAATCAACTGGAAGGTGTTGTTATCAACTGTATAAAGAGGTCTATCCATTCCCCTACTCAGAAGTGGCAGTGCCCACCCAACACACAAGCCATATAGCCAAATTCCATAAGGCCTCAAGTAATTCACAAATCCAACAATTAACAAGGCATGGGAAGGTAAAAAAATGGGAAATAATATCTTCATTACCCAGAATCCCTGTTAGCTGGAACTCTCCAATACCCAGAATTGAAATTGGCATTCAATTTTTCTGGAATAATTCTCTCAATTCCAGGTCTATGAATGAGTTTCCGAAGTAGGAAATCGAGCGCATTTTCTGAGAAATTCTCTCCGTTCTGAGCTTGGGAATAAAACTTCAGAGAGTTTTGAGAGATTGTATCATGCTCCAATGCATCCCCACATGTCAAGCATGTGGGTGAACTAGCTGCTTGGATCACTTAGTTCATATTCTGCTACCACTGTAGAAGGTTGTTCCCTCGCTAGCTGTTATTTTTTCGTACAATTTGTGTTGTACAGTACTGTACATTACTATACCAGAACAAAACCAGTCAAGAATACAGTGTTAATACAGTGTTAAGAAAATAAAAAGCGATTAGTTATGTAACGTCCAACCGAACAACATCCGATCGCATATCCGTGTCCCCCAACCCAAAAAAAACTTTCGTGACGCCTGCTGGACCACCACTCCGTGACCCCCTGACGGAGACACGATGATCTTCCCCATACTGGCCAAATATTATGTGCTAAAGGAATATCCTTCCTCAGGCTTTAGTAAGCATTTGCCTTCAGGTGTAATGTTAACCTACATCTATTGAGGATAAAATCTTTCACCTACAAATTGACAATAACACATTTGCTGTAATCAGACATACCTAGTTGTCTCAACAATAGCAACCCCAGTTGCAATTGGGGTTGCAATTTCAAATTCTGTGTCATTACTAAGGAATAACGAAGTCTCTGGTGCACTCTAAGATTAAGAGAGAAAACGGAGGACTCAGGCGTCCTGAGCGAGAGAAAACGGACTCCTATGATGGGGGCCACAAGCACTCACACGTGCCACTCATACTGACAGACTTGACACTCACTTACTTGACAAGTTTTACCAACCATTAGTTGTGTATGTTATCTAGTGAATTTAGTCAATATTGTACAGTAAAAGTACACTGCAATACAGTGGTCCCTCGGTTAACAATGGACCTAGTGTAAACCTGTACTGTACATGTACTAAAATTGTTATGTCTATTGCAAATATAGATTGTTCATACAGGTATTCAAATAAATTACTATCTTACAAGAATCCCAACAATGTAAGTTATATTCACCCAGGTCGTTTGGGTGGCAAATTATGAGAAGAGCTTAGTCACTCGTAAGGAATGATAAATAAACACGCAGGCCTTCAGCGCCAACTGTCAAATCATATCTCAAATAAATAAACAAACACCAGACACTCTGTCACCTCACCTTCCCCCCTCTTCCCACGCTCACTGGCTACCTCCCTCCTTGTGTTCCCAGACAAAAGATTGGTGATAAGTTATCACTGATAACTTTATGCTAACTAAAGTAAGGATAATATAATTTGCATTGCTGAAATCCTTGCAAGACAGAGATTAATTTGAATATAAACGTCATATATTTTGCTCGACATAAAAATTGTAGTACATTAGTGTACAATACTGTAGTACATTTTATAATATAAAGTTTTCAACTGTATTTTTGGGTAGATTTACATAAATTTCTTCATTTATTTTCATCCATTTACATGCACACACCATACTAAAAGAAACATAAAAGAAATACTGTATATGACTTTAGTGCAAAGCTGGAGTGCACATGTACTAATTTGATTACGGTACTAAAATTGTTATGTCGAGTGTGAATTTGTTTATATTTAAATAAATCAACATCTTACAAGAATCCAAGCAATGTAAATTATTTTCACCCAGGTCATTTCACTGGCTTTTTATAGGAGAGAAGCTTAGTCACTTAAGAACTTATAAATATACACGCGTTAGACCTGGGCCTGTGCCAACTGTCAAACCGCTCCGCTCCCCTCCCCCGACGCCCCTCGCTCCCTCCCTCCCTCTCCCCTATCTGCGCAGCGTTGCTGGAATCCTTGTAAAAGAGTGAATAATTTTAATATAAACGTCATGTATTTTGCACAAGAGATAAAAATTAATCACCTGTATCACATTACAGTAGTGATTTAAGAGTAAAAGTGTATATGTACGTATATAGTATTCCACATGCACGTAAGTATAAAAACAAAGTTTATGTGAAGATCGGACAACATCCATTTCGGTTAACGTCACATTTCCAAGAACGTATCTAGGACGTTAACTGGCGCATGACTGTATACTGTACTGTTCATTCAGTAAGTGGGAACACTAACACCATAGCGTTCGTCTATATGAGACCCACTATTCACCCACCCCGACAATGGGTGACCTGACATTGCATCAGGTCAAGTCAGTAACATGACCCACTAATCCACCCACCTTATATCCATTGCAAGTATCAAGAAGTGATTACAGTTGCATATTACATTCAGGTGAGTGGACAGTGTCTGCTTACTCTAGGTTCAAGATGACAGCAACTGCTGGTGAGTACAGTTCAGCACTGTAGTATTATACATTATTATGGTTACAGTTTTAACAATATTTTATACGTGTATAGTGGTGGTTGCGTAAATAAATACAGCTCCGAGCGAGATGTGTCTACACTCAGGAAAATTCCACAGCTCCATTCATGCCTGTATCAAACTTTAGATAAACTATTCAGGATTATTTTGCTAAAAAATGGTGTGTCTAGCTTAATTAGAACTGATTGTATTGACTTCGGTATCAACAATTATTACTTTTCTTTATATAAAAGAATGGAGTCCCCATTATTATACCGTGTCGAAATATTCTGTTTAAGGATCTCTTATTGGAAACGACTCGAGGAGAATCTATTCAGGATCATTATTATATGGGAGAAAGCAAACTGACCATGTGATCAGTTTGCTTTCTCCCCCTCACAAGGGTCGTGTTCCTCCCACACACCCACTGCGTCTCTCCACCTCTTCTATGACTGTCATCGTACAGTACATTATTTATTTGTTATCCATTAATTAGTAAAGATATGTTACTGTAATAATCTGTGCTTAATAATATGGTAATGTATAAGAACACCGTTACCACCAGAAAGAGTTGTTCGATTTTGTTCATTTTGTCCACAGATGTTCTTGTCAATAAGTAAATAATTTAAAAGAGGCGACATTCACTACCCGACCTAACCAACCAAAGAAACCTACCTAAACCTTACCTAACTTCATAGCCGAGGCCCCCCACCATATTAAACAAAGTACATGTACTTACACTACTATGATATCTGGTACCAATGAAAGCAACTTGGTTGAAGCATCATGGTGCAATTTATGTTTTTTGTGGACGTGAGAGTACGCTCGGATCGAGCAGGTCGGGTTGTATTTTAAACAAACAGACGACATGCGGTGACTTGTTAGATTTTTTGGCGTTGTATTTACAGTAAATAATTAATTTCTTCATCCAAAAGACATATAAAGACATAATTTTAGTGTCATATGAACAGTTTTTCAGTGTTTTACCCCCAAATATCTCTTAACCCTCATGCCCTGCCCACTACAAGTGATTTATGATCCTAGACACTAAAATTGTTTTTTTTTAAATACTGATAGATAAAATAAAAAGTTGTCACCTCTTTTAAAATACTTAATATAATGACAAGAATATCTATGGAAAAATTAACAAAATTGAACAACTCTTTCTGGTGGCAGCGGTGTTCTCATAAATTACCATTAATACTGTACCTGTACCCTTCATACACAATACTGTATATATCTCATATGTAAAAAATAACATCATCAGGATGCATCTCCATATATGCAATGGTGCAAAATTCATTTCTCTAACACAATTGTAGCAGATGTTGTGAATAAAAGTTTATACACTTTTTGCTAGCAGCCTCATGCCTCAAAAATCCCTTAGCTTTAGTCTTATTCAAGACATCTTCAGGTCATGAGACCATTAATCCCCCACCCTACCTCCACCTGACATAGCGTCAGGTCAGGTCAGTCACACGAGACCCACTAATCCCCCACAGCTCCATGAGTGGAAAACAACAGCTTTTGCTGTAACACACAGCTTCAATCCTGCCTGTATCATATAACTTTTTAGTTTTTAAATATATTTATTTTGCCAAACTTTTAGATAAACTATTTAGATAAACTACTCAGGATTATTCTAAAAAAGAAATGGAGTGTCTAACACAACTGCTTTTACACTCCGGTAGTTTAGACTCTCGGAAAACTTTTCCCAGCACTCGGAAACATTCTGGGGATGTGGGCTAGCATTTGACTGTGCAAGATGCATAATTTAGACTCTCAAAAAATTTGCCCAGTAACCAGAAAATTTCTGGAGTTAAAGGATTTTTTCTGGTTTGAGAAATCTCTCATCCCCGGAAGTGCTCTGCATCAATTGTTCCAGTTAATGGGGATACCACTGTATTGATTATGTGGTGTACAGTAAACAGTACAGTTTAAGAATATGTAATGGACTACTTGCGTTTGTAAACTTGGCACCCTCAAAAATCTGCCATCAAATATAAATGGAAGTTACCGAGAAGAGTCTTGAGTTTGATAATCCTATTCTTTTAACACCTTCATTATGGAGATGCCACTTTCAATATTTTATTTGGCAGTTTTCAATGTATTGATACATTAAAGTTAGATGCAAATGATAAACATTGTAATGAGACAGAACTAAGCTATGTAGGTAAATTATTAAATGAACTGTGTTGAGATCAGAAAAAATAGCCAGTCCTTATCTCACACGTAAAGTACAATATATGTTCATGTTACCTCTGTATAATCTGTAACAAAGAATGAGGCAACTGCATCATATTTGGAGAAATGTGAAGGATACAGTTTGAGCCAGGTGTCGTCTCCATAGAAGTGAATCCGTCTCCCTGCATCAACCCACCGCTTGATAAGGTTGTCGTCTGTCAGCTCAGTAGCTCCAAAGTTTTCAATGATATCCATAAAACCTGGGATGCTGCCTGTCACTAGGGACTGAAGTAATAGTGTTAGACATTTATTTTAACACAATGTTAAAAAACTTCTTCAACCAACTGTTAAAGTGTCGTTACAAATATTATCCAAGGCAATCTAGAACCTGGAGTTCAGGGTCTTTATAGCATGATTTTAAGCAGAGATACAGAGTACTGTACAGAAATTAAATTGCATGTGTCCAGTAAGATGTATACAAGTGTTGTTGGGGGTCACTCTTAGGCCAGAGAATCTGAGTACAGTATTCAGCTAAATACTTACTAAACAAACAAAAGTGTACAGACTTTATTTGACCTTCTACTGTAGCTAGTGTTATCTTAAAAAGATGTCAAAATTATCAAACTTACAGCCAACTTATATAATATACAGGAACATCAAGGGGGCTACCATCAACACTTTACAAGTCATGGCATAAAGAAAAGCCAATGAGGTCACAAGCCTAGAGATTAAGATAGGTTGTTGTGGAAGAACTGTTTGGGAATTGTTCCACTTACTGAATTATTTCAATGTGAGAAACTCACAGAAAAAGTTTTTCTGATGAATGCATTTTTGGGGAATAACTCTTAACAGGTTTCTCGTAATCAGTGAGCTTTTGCTTGTTTTCTCTGACCCACACACTAAGTTAGTCCAAGATGCTCAACTTCTTTATTTCGCCACAGCCAAACTAAGTTTAATGATGGACTCACATTTTTTCCCATACTTCTGTATGCAATATAAAACGTGTAAACTTTGTTTTGAAGAAAAAAAATCACTGTTTTCTGTGCAGAAAACCTAACTGCACAGTTGTTGGGTTAAGCAGATATCTTAAGCTAAGTCAAAGCCCCCAGAATGCTCTGACTGCCTTAAGAGCAATATATCAAATCAGTGTTACTTATAGAATAACAGACTATTTCCACACTGCAATGACATACACCATCTTACCTTAATTCTAGGCAAAGTGACCGTGGGTGTAGCCGTACGCAGAACATAGCCGTGGGCCTCTCCTCGTGTGAGTAGGCCGTGTAAGTAAGGCATGAGAGGTTGTGCTGTAGACACAAGATGATCTGCTCTCAGGGCATCGATGACAACAACAACAGTCTTGTCTACTGACACCAGAGAATCATCATGATGCTTGCTGAGCCAAGAAATTTTTTTATTAAAAATTACAGCTTTAATCATATCCTGTTACATAAAAAATTTATGCTTTATAAAATATTCATGCCCCTTCATATGTACATCATATATGCAATCAAAGACAAAAGTCGTGTCACGGTTTTGTCTGAAGATTAAATATAACTCGTGAAACATTATGAGAGCCCCCTACCACAAGGCAGAGCGCACCAAAAGTTTAGCCCTTCGGCATATGTTTTCACCAAATTTCACGACACGACTTTTGTCTTTCATTGAAAATCAACATTAAAGACCCTTTCTTTGGAATTTATGACAATACTGTATTGATTATTTACATCCACATAACCTTCACATTAGTTCTTCTACTGAAGCAATCACTCACATTCTAAGGCATTATCACCTTTTGTCTCATTATTCATTCTATCCATACTACAGTAACTCCACAACACCTATACCACAACTGACCACACACTACAATACATTCTACCCATTACTGTACATACAACACAAGTTACAGTATATGCACGACTGTTTTCAGGATATCTCTCGACAACTTTTGGAATAGGAGGGTTCTTGGATCACCTGAAAATTAGTCCCCCAGCTTATTTCACCCTAATGCTACTGTAAGGGGAGGGTTAGGTTAGGTTCCATTTGTATTGGGATGGTTAATGTTAAAAGTGTAATATGCTGGGAAGGCTAACCTTCAGGTGATACGTTTTCTTCCTCCTGTCTTTGGTAAAACATCAGTACAGTGGTCCCTCAATTAACAAACACAATTGGTTCCACAGAGTCATTTGTTAACCAAAAATTTTGTTAACTGAATCAATTATTTCAACGGGATATTGGGTAATTGGTTCCAACTCACAGAAAAAGTACATACAGTACAAAGTAAAGCCAAAAAATGCATAAAGTCAGAAACACTCCTAAAAATCCCCTAAATCGCTCTTAAATCACTACAGTACAGTACAGTACAGTATATATATATATATATATATATACCTATATATATATATATATATATATATATATATATATATATATATATATATATATATATATATATATATATATATATATATATATATATATATATATATATATATATATATATATATATATATATATATATATATATATATATATATATATATACACGTACATATACACTAGAACTCTTAAATCACTCCTGTAATGTGATACAGGTGATTAATTTCTATCTCTTGTGCAAAATATATGACGTTTATATTCAAATAATTAACTGTCTTGCAAGGATTCTAGCAATGCAAATTATATTCTCTTAACTTTAGTCTGTGATACAGTGGTCCCTTGGTTAACGAGATTTCGGTTGACGAGTTACCTCCCATAAGATTCTTAACTTCGGTTAACGAGCAATCACTCGATTAACGAGTTTCTTACGAGCCGACCTGAACATGTTTTCGCTTGCACTTGGCGGTCAACCAGCTGTAGTATTAGTCCGCCAATACAGTAATCGGTTCTAGGGCTTCAATTCCTTACTATTTTAGTAAATATCAAGAAGTTTATACTATTCAATAATTTTAAAAGTTTAATATTAATTTTTTTTTCATTTTAACAATTATTGAACATAATTGAAGGTAAGGTCACTAGTTTCTGGCGCGCCATCCAGCCTTTTAACACACCAAACAAGCGTTAGTCTCTCTCTGTTTTCAGTGGAGGTAACATCTTGCTTGAGACTCTCTTCAACTAAATGCTTTCTTTCTGTGTTTTCAAGCAAATTATTGGTCAATTTGAAATTTATTTTACATATTGACAATATATAGCACAGTGCAGTGTTATTTTAAAGAAAATATTCTTTATTTACAGATACAGTAGTTTAAACTTAAAGATCACGTGTTGACATTGTTTGAATCCAGCAAGGGGCCTAAGAGATCAAGAAAAGTGATTTCAATCCAAACCAAGCAGGAAATTAAGAAACATGAAGAAGGCATTAGAACAAATGCGCTATGCAAAGAAAATGGCATGTCGACATCTGTGTCGACAATTCTTGCACAGAAAGACAAATTTAAAGAAGTGAAAGTGAGAGACAAATCTACCAGTGTTTAAAAGTAGATCCCTAATTGCAGAAACTGAGAGGTTACATCTCATCTGGATTAGGGAAAAACAGATGAAAGGTGAATCAGCTTCTACTGAATTCATTTGTGAAAGAGCCAGGGAGATTTACGAACATTTAAAGACAGATTAATTTAAAGAACTGATGGAAGAAGAAAATTATCTTCCACAGCAAGTGTTCAATGTGGACAAAACTGGGCTAATCTGGAAAAAGATGCCCGAAAGAACATTCATCACCAGAGATGAAGCCTCTTTACCTGGGCATAAACCCATGAAAGACCGTCTCACTCTATTGCTTGGTGGCAATGCTTCAGGGGATTTCCGGCTGAAGCCTATGCTTGTCTACCACTCTGAAAACACCAGGGTGTTCAAACAGAAAGTGGTAAGAGCAAAGCTTGGAGTTTATTGGAAGTCCAACCATAAGGCATGGGTGACAAGACAGCTCTTTAATGAATGGGCTGTTGAGGTGTTTTGCCCTTCTGTCAAGAGCTACCTAACCACCAATAAACTCCCTTTAAAGGCTCTTCTCCTCATGGATAATGCTCCTGGTCATGACCCTCAACTTGCCAGAACTTTGAAGTATCAATTTGACTGTGAAAGTGTTGTTTTTGCCTCCTAGCACTACATCAATCATACAGCCAATGGACCAGAATGTGATCAGCAACTTCAAGAAGTTGTACATGAAGAAAATGTTTAGGTGTCATCAGGCAACTTTCAATGATCCTGAACTAACACTGAAACAGTTCTGGAAGACACAATTCAACATCCTGGAGGCTGTAAAATTGATTGTGTCATCATGGCGAGAAGTCTCCACAAATCCCTCAATTCTTCATGGAAAGCACTGTGGCCATCAGTAGTCCATGATTTTGAGGGATTTCAGGATAACACAGAGTTGGACCAGGAGATTGTGTCCATTGGTCAGTCATTGGGCCTTGAAGTGGAAGAGGATGATGTGGAAGAGCTTGTGATGTCTCATGAAGAGGAACTTATTCCTGATGACTTGAAGCAACTGGATGAGATGTTAGATGCTGACAGTGGTGAGGAGGAAATTGAAAGTGATGACCATATGTCAACTAAAGAGTTGAAAGATGTGATTTACGACTGGGAGAAGTTCAGGGAACTGGCTTCAAAGCACCCAGATGTGGAAAAAACTGAACTAACTTTGTGTCATGTTGAGGACTCAATGGTCTCCTTCTTTAAACATAAGTTAATGGTGAGGAGGAGAGATGACCCACAGACCACAATTGATACTTTCTTCAGTAAAAGGCAGAGGGAACAAAATGCTATCCCTCAGCCTTCCACTTCAAGAAGGAGAGAGGATGTTCATGGTGGAGAATCTGTCAGTCCAGAGGTTCCTGACATTTTCATGGAAGGTGACTCACCTTCCAAGAAGCAGTAAAATGCTTCTCCTCCACCTCCACTTCCTTCTCTTCTCCTTTCTCCTCCTCCACCTCCCACTTCAAATTCACATCAGCATCATCATCATCCAGGAGCCTTCTACACACACACCTTAAAGTAAGTGTAATTTTCTACCTTTTTTGTTGAATTTAGGCAATTTTCGGTGAGCTGGAACCAATTACCGAAAACCCATTGAAACAATGGTTTCGGTTAACGAGCAACCTGCTGGAACGGATTGTGCTCGTTAACCAAGGGACCACTGTATTATATAAGATAAAAACTGTAAGCCTAAAACCCTGGCTGAGCAGATGGGGGAGAGGGAGGAAGGGAGGGAGGGAGGAGGAGGTGAGGTGATATGTATGACAGTTGGCACTGAAGGTCTAATGTGTGTTTATTTATCAGTTCTTAAGAGTGACTAAGTTTTTCTCTTATAAAATGCCACTGAACTGTCCTGGGTGAATATTATTTACATTGCTGGGATTCTTGTAAGATAGTGATTAATTTGAATATAAACAAGTTATAATTTGCACTAGACAACAATTTTAGTGCCCTAATCATTTAGTACATGTACAGTACAGGTTTGCACTTAGGTCATTTATTTCTTTTAGGTTTCTTTTAGTATGGTGTGTGCATGTAAATGAATAAAAATAAATGAAGAAATTTATGTAAATTATTAAAATGTACTAAACTAATGTACTAAATTTTTTATCTCTTTTGCAAAATATATGATGTCTAGATTCAAATTATTCATTGTCTTGCAAGGATTCCAGCAATGCAAATTATATTCTCCTAACTTTAGTCTGTGATATTATATAAGATAAAAACTGTAAGCCTAAAACACCAAACCCTGGCTGGGCAGATGGGGAGAAGGGGGGGAGGTGACAGTGACATGTTTGACAGTTGGTGCCTAAGGTCTCATTTAGTATTTATTTGTTTATTTATGTCCTTTAGATTGAGTTTTTTTTTTTTTGCTTATAAAATGTCACAGAAGTGACCAGGGAGAATATAATTTACATTGCTGGAATTCAAATAAGATAGTGATCAATTTGAATATAAACATGCTAGACTGTAGTATGCACTTGAAAAAATCTTAGTACTGTAATCATTTAGTACATTATTTTGAGTACATGTACAGTCAGCTTTGCCTTTAGCACAGTGTGTGCATGTAAATGAGTAAAAATAAATTAATAAAGTTACATATATCGAGCCAAAAATATTAGTTGAAAACTTTATGTATACAGAACTTGGATGGCTAAATTTTAGATTGACCAATAATTTTAATATAAAAAATGCAAAAATATTCAAGAACACAAATTTCTTGATATTTACTCCACTGTATTGGTGGACTAGCCGATCAGCTGATCAGCTGATGCACACAGCAAAGCGTGTTTCTCCTAAGGCCTTCGTTAATCGAGGTTTTGTTCGTTAATGGAACTGAAAATCCTAATGGGAGCTAATTTGTTTACCGAAATTTCGTTAATTGAACCGTTAATTAATCGAGGGACCACTGTAATGCATCATCTTGATCTGAACCTCTACCTTTCTTCTCCAGTTCTCAGATTCACAACAAGAAGTCAAATCACCTGCTGGGTGCCTCGGTGGGTAGTACCAAGTCCTCGGGTAGGGATGGCTGCGGCCTCACACTCACAATACCAGTAAGGTATGCTACAAGTGCAGCCACAATCGCTATCTGCTCTATGAGGAGATGTGACAGCCCACTCAATTTCATCTTTTCCATATGCTGTTGAGAAATGTTTGTATTTATATGCAGTTTATTATTTCTACAATGCATTAAGATTTGTTCAAATTAAGTTATATATTATTCTACTAAAATGCTTTTTGGTTGAGAAAATCAAAGAAAACCCATATTCATTTTTGGCATAACAAGCTGAATATTAAATACAAAATCTTCAAACATGATACAATATAGTACAGTACAGTACATACAGTAGTCTAGAATCTTAAACTTAGTACAGGTTGTACCTCTCTAGTCCGGCAACCTCGGGACCTGACCGGTGCCGGACCATGGAAATTCACCCTTTTCCTGGATAGATAGTGACTTGTGCTTATGCTTGGAAGCACTAGCACCACTTTCTCTGCATCATGGTCTCTTTGAAGACATATTGAAGGGTTAAATGTCGTACAGTAGCTTCTCAAATTTTGCGAGTTTTTAATTCAACGTTTTTTATTTGAACACCAAAAAAACAACACATTTAAAAAATTTGACGGTCGAAACTTGAATTTCGACGAATTTGAACGGCCCACCAACATTCAGACGACGTGCACAATCGTGTAAACAGCGTCATTTGAAGACATATTGAAGGGTTAAATGTCGTATAGTAGCTTCTCAAATTTCGTGAGTTTTTAATTCTTAACGTATTTTATTGGAACACACAAAAAAATAAATAAATAAAAATTTTGACGGCGGAAACTTGAATTTCGACGGGTTTGAACGGCCCGCCAACGTGCAGATGACGTGCATAATTGTGTAAACAGCGTCATTTCTCTTATGTGCAAAAGATTCATTATTGTTTATTACTGAATGTCTTTTTTATTGAATTAATGTTTATGTGTGCAAAATGAGCAATACAATTCATTAATAATACGTAGAATAATAAAACACACGAGGAAATGAGACAGCATTGTTTTCGTTGATTACAAAACCAGTGACTGACTGGTTCTACATATAAAACTGAAGAAAATAAGACCTTGGTTGTAGCTGTAGTAAAACTAATATGGTTGTTTTAAGTAATGTTATTTAATGTTAATAAATGGAACAACAGAAGTAGCTAACGATAATGGTAAAGAAAAAAGAGAGATCGCGTATGTAAGTGCGCACACGTGAAAACATATCGTCATTACTTTACATAAGAATATGAAAGCAACACTTATTTACTGTTCAAATATATTTTAATTACTGTTTCTGAATTTGTTTTTATTGAATTAATGTTTGTGTGTGCAAAATTAACAATACAATTTATTAATAATACGTGGAATATTAAAACACACGAGGAGACGAGACGGCTGCCGGCATTGTTTATGTTAAGCTTACCAAAACCAGTGACGATTGGTTCTACATATAAAACGAAAATAAATTTCAGTTTTAGTAGTAAAAATTAATGTAAAAAATTAATATGGTTGTTTAAATTGCAGTAATGTTATTTAATGTTAATAAATGGAGACAATAGTAGCTACGGTATATCCGCGGCCTATAAAATGGTTATAAAACCTTGTTCCATTTAAAGAAAAACTTTGGGCTATTTGCTTAATATGAATAATTACCCCCGTCTTGTTACTTACCACGGCTCAATGGTCCTTTATATATCCTTGATTTTTTAAAATAAGGCCAATTCACTTCAAGTAATGTCATCAAATTATACCCGCTGGTGTAGTGTAAACACTAGTGACGTCACTGAAGCGTGGTGGGAGTGTTCCCTCGTCTCGGTGGTGTGACTATTTATACAACATGTGGTTCAACAGCAACCACCATATTCTAATTGTGGTGTTTCATTAGGATTTGAGTGAAAAGGTTACCAGTATGTACTTACTACATACATTTATTACACAAATATATATATATATATATATATATATATATATATATATATATATATATATATATATATATATATATATATATATATATATATATATATATATATATATATATATATATATATATATATATATATATATATATATATATATATATATACTGAATATACTATGTACAAAAAATGAATGTTCAATGAATTATTTATGGTGCATTAGGGTACTGGTCACTTCTGATGGGCTATAAATAGCCTTCTTTATCTCCCCTACATCTCACCCTGAGCCAGAGGAAGGGTCTTGGTAAATAACATGTTTGCTTATTTTCCATTTACTTTAAATAGATTTACCGAATTATTTGTTTTATTTATTTATTTATAATATACTGTAATATATTAAACACACTGTAATTATTTTCTTTAATTTATAAACTGTTTTGCGACAAAGGAATGTTCTCCAGTAGTGTTTCATTAGGATTTGAGTGAAAAAATATTACGTACTTACACAATTGTTCCTCTTACTTTGACAACACAACATACATACAGTATATTATTTCTCAGTTTTGATCTTTTTTTTAATTTTTGTATTTATTTATAGTTAGTTACTTAAAATAAGGCCAATTCACTTCAAGTAATGGCATCAAATATTACCAGCTGGTGTAGTGTAAACACTAGTGACATCACTTGAGCGTCTGTAATTAACCGTCGATAGTTTCAAGAATTAATGCACTCATTTACTGAATATTCTTTGGAAAAAAATAAAATTTAAATCAATTATTTATAGGAGATAAATATTATTATGAGTAAATATACCGATACCGGTATGCATTACTGACCACCTCCACGGCTCCTCACTGGCAAATGGGGGGGGGGGCGTGGGGAGGGGTGTGTGATGATAGCTGTGTTTATTATAGGGGTATAAATCTCTTTTACGGTATGTTAGACAGGTTTATAATACATTTTTATTATTTTAATATACCGGTAATCTTAATTTGAATCCAGCTTGCCAAACGTAAGTTTCAGTATAAAATAATTAGTGGTAAGACCTTGTGAGTGGCTTACGATGTTTTCATCACCACTCTTGACACACTAAACCACAATATTTAAGAGGTAAGAATTTTAAACTTGGTGGTTTAGACGACCCCCTAACTTTGGACAGATTTTTTTAATGTTCAAATTTCGTCTTATAGGCCCTGATATACGGTAAGTAGCTAATCATTAATGGTAAAAAAAAAAGTGAGACTGCGCGTATGTAAGTGCGCACATGTGAAAACATATCGTCATTACTCTACATAAGAATATGAAAGCAACACTTATTTACTGCTCATATATATTGAAGGGTTAAATGTTGTACTCTGTATAGACAAGCAGAGAGAGAGCAGCCGAACTGCCGGATGTAAACAAACCTTAATTTCCCGCGGCTTTGTTGTTGTTTTTTTTTACGGGGATTAGCCCACCCGGGCATAGGTCACTCACCCACATTGGGGCCTGAGGGGCAAAAATTTAATACTCCTGTAATAATAATATGTAGCAATTTCAGATACAGGTGGTTCTGCTATATAGCGATAATTGTGTGTTCTTGTAAAATATCGTGTTATAGAAAATCGTAATAATAAATAACAGAACTTATATGGAAAATAAAGGGTTAGGTGCAGATTACTCGAAATCGAAAAAATTTAGTAAAGTTAGCCTAACACAAAGACAGCATAGTCTAAATAAATGTTACATTCATATCCTAATAATGAGGAAAAATCATACAGTAAATTTAACACTTTACCTTGAAAAAATATGAATATAACTTGATGGGGGAGAAGGGTTATTTTGAGGTTGATAACATCAAGCTTCTCTTCAAGTGTTATATCCTTTCTTTTACGATAATCACCGGGAATTCTATCATCAGAATGCTTTTTGGAGATATTCTTCTTTACCATATTCACAGTTAATACCACAAAATTGGAGAAATAGTAAGCAAAAATCGCGTTATAGCAAACAAGCGATCGCGTTATACAAATATTGTTCCGAATTCATAAATCGCGTTAGAGCAAATTCGCGTTATCAAAACTACAGCGTTATAGCAGAACTACTGGTTATATAAAAAAAAAAAAAAAAAAAAAAAGCTGCCTATCTACCTATAGGACAAACTAAAATCGTTCCGGACCACAGAATGCCGGACTAGAGAGGTACAACCTGTAATTGAATTGTGCTTTACAACCAATTGTTAATGGTCGAGAAGCAAAGGCACTGACAGATCTTGGGAGAGACAAGAGGGCCATGCCCCCAACCCTATTTGGTTCTTAATTTCCCTGAATACCATGGCACTGGCTTTGCCGATATTACAGTCTATCTCATCCCCCAATCCAAAACATCTGCACAGCTCTTTGGCGCATCAGCATAAAACGGGGGACCTTCTAGACTGCAGTATGTCCCATTCTGAGTGCTGCTCTCAGTCTATCTCCCCCCCCCCCAAAACATAAATAAATAAATTTTGATGAAATCTACTACACAATAATTTCTGATCTATAGGGACAATGTGAAATTCAACTACAGTATACTCTCAATTTCACAGAATCCGATATAACGAACTCTCGATTTAGCAGAAGGCATTTTTTCGCTCTTTTTCACTCCACTTAGTGAAGAAGTTCACTAAATCAAGATTAATTCTGTTAATACGCTCACACCTACGAAGACACCTCAGACACATGATACAGTAAAACCGACTTCAGTCTACGGTGAATATACTAAATGTATAAAAACGATAAATAATGGTAAAGAGCAATTACCGGAAAATCTGAGAAAACGGCGAGAAAATAACTCCAAGCCTTCCTGCTCCAGGCCTGGGACAAAGGCTCCTTGCATCATAAAAGATTGCATTATGTTTAGCCACATCCTCACATGGTTGGTGAGTGGGTGGGAAGAGTGAGGTGACATGCCTGGCCACATCCTCACATGGTTGGTGCGTGGGTGGGAAGAGTGAGGTGACATGCCTGGCCACATCCTCACATGGTTGGTGCGTGGGTGGGAAGAGTGGTGGCATGCCTGTACATCCTCCCATGGTTGTGCATGGGTGGGAAAGAGTGAGGTGACATGCCTAGCCATATCCTCCACATGTGGTGCGTGGTGGGAAAGAGTGAGGTGACATGCCTGGCCATATCCTCACATGGTTGGTCGTGAATTACAGGAAAGTGGTGTATGC